TTTTTTTTTTTTTGGCTGAAAATGTTCCCCAAGCATGGATGTGCATTCCTTTGTAACACACTTGCTTTGATGATGAGTCAGACCCTCCAAGTGCTGAGCAGGGGGTCTTCCAGGATGACAGCCAGTAACCATGGGAACACACTGCCCCTACACAGCACAGCCAACTCAAGCCCAGCTGACCAATGGCTTCTCCAGCACCTTTGCTTTCTGGAAGAGGGGGATTCTGAGGTCTGACCACTTAGCAAATTTGCAAGCAAATTTGCACCTGACAAATGATCAGATGGGAATGCTTATTTACTGGAGGAGACAGACATTATCAGCACTCTGGAGAAGGACACTTCATCTCACGCCAGTGCATATTATAAACCCTCACACACACGGTGCACACACGCATTCACACACATGGTGCACACATGCAACACACACACATGCACACATTCACACATGCACACACACGCACCAGCTGTGGAAAGACCCACAATAAGCCCAGGGCATGGATATCCTCACATGAGCCCTGGGAGGGTGTTTCTTATCATCACCCCACCTTACTGATGAGGAAAGTGCTCCTGGGGTGACAACCAGCCATCCAGGGGGCTGCAGACTTCCCCACTCCCTCTTGGAACTAGCAAAGGTGGGCATGGAGCAGCTCTGCTCAGAGCAGGGGGCCCTGAATAGTGACTGACTAAGAGGTCACCCAAGAGTCCCATGGCCTGGGGGTCAGGAAGGCCGTGGGCCACCTTACCGTCCTCACTGAAGATGGGGGCAGTGTACAGGTAGTGGGTGATGCTGGGGTCATGCTCGAAGGGACATTCCACTTGTTTCCATGTGATGAACTCTCCAACCTGCTTGGCCAGCTCCAGAAATTTCTGCCAGTGTCACAGAAACACAAGTTGGAGGCACCTCTGGTGATCCCTGTGAGGGTGGGTGGCCGGCCCTGGCAAAACCTCTCTTATCAGCCCCCGGTGATGTCAGGGACTTGAAGAGGAACATAGGGCGAGAAGTGACAGAACTGCCCAGAAAGAAAGCTGGGTGCTGTGTGATCTTCACCTCGTCACAGCTCCTCCATTTCCTTGGAGGAACCCTGGCATTGGTGCCTGCAGCTCACTAGGCTCACTGTTGCAGGGAGCGCGGCCATGGCTGCAGCCTGCAATTGCATCTAGCAAGAGTGGGCGTGATGTTATTCTCACTGTATTTATTTTTGTGGTTATCTCCTATTTATGGCAAGCGATCCATGTTTGTGGATTTATAGAATGATGCAAATACATTTAAATGAATGTATTTAAGTAAGATTTAAGTAAATTCATTTAAGTATAATTTTAAGTAAGGTTTATATATATATATTTAATTTTTTAAAAA